AGGGTTTAGGGTTTAGGGAATGCAGCAAGCAGAGGGCGTTTGCAGGAATTCCGGAAGTTCGTAAAAGCAGCTACTTGTAGTCACGGCTGGGCAGCTATGAGTCTATTAAACTCTGCCACACTTGTCTACCCTTTTTGGGGTGCCCAGGTTGTTGCTCAAGGCCCACGAGCCTTGGCTGAAACAGATCCCGTGTCTCTTTTCAGGCGAAGGCTCCGAGAAAGTCCGCGAATCTCTGCTGGCATCTGCTCAAGAAGTCAAGATCTTATGTAGCTTACTATCACATGTGTGAGGTGAGCAATGCTTCATCGGTGTACTTTCCTGCTGGCCCTCTGCTTTTTCAAGGGAGGTGGAAGCATTTCCACCAGCTGCAAGACCCTTGGCTGCGGAGGCCGCGATAACACGTGCTCGTGCACCACATCTTGCTGGAGCTTTTCGTCCTGCTGTGACGACTATGGAACTGTTTGCCCAGAGCAGTCGCCCACCATACAGTTGGGAGACGTGAATATGCTCATAACGACAGACCTCCACTCCTGGATTGAAGGCCGCACCCACGAGTCACTCCTGAACGCGTCATTGGCTCATGTGGTTTCAGCGTTGGACCATCTGCGGAAAGCAGCTGATGTAGAGAAGCGAGATGTGTTCTTCTTCGATAACGGAGACATCAACGATGGAACTGGTCTTTCAGCAACTGCCCCTGATCATGTGGAATTCTTAGCTCCAGTGATGCAGAGCGCGCGCTATGACGCCCTCAACCTGGGCAATCACGAGCTTTATCAGCGCAATGGCCACGGCATAGTCACTCGGTTCAGGGTCATTGAGGGCAATGCACAAAAAGCGAGAGTGAACCTGCCGGCCTCCGCTGAGTCTGAGGTCGAGGGTCCTGCCTGCCCGGTCGTTGGACTGAATGAGTCGGGTTACATCGCTTCTTGGCAGGGCCGTGGCTTTGGCAGCAGGAGCCTAGAACCACCTAGAGTTCAGAGTCTAGCGATTCGAACCCGCGAAAGCTGTCTAATTCTGTCCGAGGGTGATGTGGGAAGTTCGTGGAAGTTCAACATCGCAGGGGCTGGAACCGGCTAGAGTAGGTGTGTGGGGCAAGTGTGGGAAGTCATGGCACAAGAACTCAAGGAGACATGTGAAGGGGTCGCTCTCGCACGGCTTTGTTGCTTGCAATGCCAAGTCGCGGCCCAGGATACCTGACCTCGAATGTGGTTTGGTCCTCGACACAACAGCCAATTGGAAACCGCTACGCTGTTGTCGAGGGGAAGTTCGGGACTAAGCTCTTGGTTTTCGGATTCCTCTACAACATGGAAGACCATTGCGATGCCGTGAGCGTGTTGGATGTGGAGCAAACACTGGCTTCCAAATGGTTCATCGAATCCTTGAAGGCCGGCTGTTGGCAGCCCATAGCAGGCCGGCCCCATGCCCCACGACAGGTTAGCTCCATGCCTTCTTTGCTTCCAGGCGCATCGTACCCTGTGCGATGGAGTTGTGGTCCTTGCGCATATGGACTTCCGTGATGCCCTGGTTGACAAGATTTGGGCTGCTGTCCGCCAGGGCATGGGGCCTTCCAAGCCTATCCAGATTCTTGCAGGCCACTCGCACATCCGTGGGTACAGGCGTGGGCCCACCGTTGTCATGCGGACGACACGCCAGTGCCCATGCTTGATCCTCGATCGCCGTGTCGTGAAGTCGAGATATGTCAAGATCAATGTGGAGTCCTACAGTCTTACGCACTGCATCCCCTCTACTAGTCAGAGGGTGCATACAAAACCTGCTTATGATCTAGTCGACTGCTCGACATCCGACACTTCTAGATTAACTTGTCAGGATCGCAGCTATTCAGAATTACTCTCCTTGTGTCTGCGACACAGGACATGTTCGAATGTTGCGTCAGGCGCCTCGACAGCCACGCTTCTGACGCTCGGCTGCAGAGTGCTTATGACCACTTGTATCTACTTGTAAGGGCGGATCCCTGACTGGCACTGCTAACACAGAATGGCTGATTCAGTCGTCCAAAGGTCTTCGAGGCAGGATGCAAGCTGGACACGGAACCTTGGCAGAAGGTGACGGATCTTTGCAGGAAGACTGTGAGTAGGCAAGAGATGCCCATACTAAGGTTGGGTTTCTGTCCTACTCCTTTGAAGCGAATGGGCTGCGCATCGACCACTCTAACATTACGGGCAACGTCCAGCAGCTTGCAGGCGAGGAGGGCGAATACTCGGAAAGGTCGAGTAGATTCAGAGATCCAAACAGACCAAGGTTTAGGGTTTTGGGTTTAGGGTTTGAGCAAGAAATGGATCATTCAATCTTTGAAGCTTGCCAAGCAGTGCTGCAGCGAAGCGAGGTGCAGTGAATCGCAGTGTGTCGAATTTGTCCACTGCCGCGGGCGCGCGGACAGCACATGCTATAAACACGGCGCGTGGCAGAGCCGGCAGTGATGCTTGGACACAGCCGAAACGAGATATTCAGTTTAGCGTTGTGAAGCAATAGCCAGCTCCCATCCTGGGTTTTGCGACTTGGTTCACGCATGGAGGGATCTCGCTCGTAATTACCTTGCTTGTGCTTGAGTGCCGAGAAGGTGGATCCCCTTTGTATCTAATCTGTGCAGGATTTCAGATCGCTGGTTGGACTTGACTGGATTTGATGTGCACGCAGCCTGGCGACCGTTTCAACTGCGCTCTAAGGACCAATTCCTTGGATGTGCATCGCAGAGATACCGGTTGCTTGGCCCTTTGGACAACAACTCTCTGCTGCTTGGACGAATTTGCATCCAAAATGCTTTTTTGACACTGAAAGCAGGACAGGCAAATCGATGTTGGTCGTAGGGGCTTCATAGATCTGAGCATCTCAGCCCGACGGCGTAGCCTTGGTCAGGTGGACGTTGTACATGAACCAAGTGCTGCCCGGAGCGCTCTTGGACACCCCAAGCTCTCAAATCGCAATCATTGGGGACGGAACACTGAGCTACGACATCTTTCCGGGACCTGTCAATGTCGATGACGTCTACAAGGCCTCTCCCTTTGCAAACTTTTGGCTGAAGTTGGAGAGCATCCCGGGCTCTGATGTGGCCAAGCTCTTGTCTGAGCTGATTTATCCCACGAAGTATGACCTGCCTCCATACTTCATCACCGGTGCTCCCGTCCCGTCCTCGTCTTATGATCTTGTCTTCTGCGAATATGACACAGAGGCCATTGTTGGCCGGCTGTCGAAAATTCTTGGAAGACGCTTAGAGGCCAGGCTTTACAAGCCTCTGCTTAACACTTCTAGTGTGCTGAACAAATGGTTCGAAGGGCAACCATGCGCAAGCCAGGAGCTTCTTGTGTAGCCAGCTGGGAGGGCTCCGGTACCTTAGCTTGTACATACTTACCGGTGGATTTTGCTGCCCGCCTTCTCCTCTCTCTGTGCTTGAGGGGTGCCGAATACCGACCGCGAGTGAGAGCGGCGTAGATGAGCGTCCGTCTCCGACGTGAGACTTGCAAAGTGGGCCGAGCGCATTCCGCACAGGCTGTAGGCAGACTGCGAAGGGGGAAAAGTCCTTGTCGGTCTGTTGTCATCTCCTAGTCCCAGTCCTAGCGCCAAGCGATTGAAGAGAGCTCATGCTAAATCGCAGGTCCGAGCTTCTTGCAGCACTCTACCCACCGAACCCAGCGTTCGAAAGGAACCATGCAAGAGTGAAGTCGTGTGTCTCAGTATCATTGCCAAGGAATGCCTGGTCGATGGCCAAAAAACGGAGGAGGTTCAGGCCTGGATCCCAGGAGGGTTAAGTGAGTTAAGTGCATGGCATTCGGTGCAAGTGGGTATTCTTTCAGTGGCAGTCGGAGCAAAGGCAGTCCATTGGGAATTTGTCACTTGTCATCCGCCGTCTCTGTGCGTCCTCGTCGACTGCGCCTCCGATGCAGGAGCTGCGTCAGAAACTGCGGGAGCTTCGCGCCGAAGGCTCCGAGGAGGCCGTGTCGAAAGAGGCGCGCAGCTTGCGGATTTTGATTGGGGTCGCTTCTGGTCAGCTTCGCCGTTGACAAGGTGCCTGAGGGTTACGGTGGAGTCAAAAGCGCAGTCTGCAGATTTCGTCTCGTCCACTTCCAAGTTGCCAGCCTCATACCAGGAACCGCCAGAAGCTGCGCAGCTGCCCGAACCGGAGCCGGCGAAGCCACCCAAGGAACCTCCGAAGGACTTTGCTCGTGGCGCATGATAAAGCCCTAACGGTCGCATCTGACGGCCCTGTCAGCTGACGGCACAGGGTTCTACGGCTTCCTTGCCAGGAGGAGCTCTTGGCGGCTTTGGCCGCCTCCGAGCAGCGGACGGACTGGGTGCACTTGCTGCAGAAAGTCGCTTCGAAGACAGACAGAACCCTCTGTCGCCTGCGCTCATGAAGAGAGAACCTACAACCACAGGATATGGGAGTTTTCCGAAATTAGGGTACCTTATTTTGGAGTCCTTGTAATAGGGATCCTACTATTTAGGCTACTATATTAGGGTCCCCTCTACCTTATAATAGGGATCCTATTATTTAGGGTACTATATTAGGGTCCCCTATTGTCGGAAACCCCCATGTGTCTCCAGTGATAAGGTCAGCTCCATGGCCGCAGACCTGCTCTCGCAGCTTGAAGCCTCAGCCTCAGCTCAGGTCCATGCTCTGCTATTGGCTCACTAGCCTTTAGGGTTTAGGGTTTAGGGTTTAGGGTTTAGGGGTTTAGGGGTTTAGGGTTTAGGGGTTTAGGGGTTTAGGGTTTAGGGGTCGGTTTAGGGGTTTAGGTTTTAGGGTTCTTTTCATACATTGAAAGCCTCGGCAACTCTGACTCTTCCGTTCTGTCAGGAGGTCTGCAGTCCAGATCAGCACCACAGTCTGAGCTGAAGAAGCCTCGTAGCGCAGACCCCTGCAACTGCTCTCATGGGGTGTGCTTTGTGTTTTTTCCTAGGAGAACCAACTTCTTGCCGTGTTTGCTTAGTGGATGCAGCCCAGTTTCAAGCGTGTAGAGAACCGTTCATTGACGGCATTCCTGCTGGGTTCAGCAGGTCCCAAACCAATCCCAGAGAGAGAAATGAGGGTTCACATCCGGCAGACTGGTGCGAAGGTGGTCTTCGAGGACCGCAATCAGAAAGGTGTCCACCTTGGAAGCGCTGTGGCCGCCATCGTTGACAGGCCTGCTGACGTCGAATACATGCGCTCTTGCCTTTTCTGTCTATTTCGTGTTATCGTCGTCGTTGTCGTGGTTCTGCTTCCGGGTGTGGTACGTTATGGATTTTTTTTTGTAGCTGTCGTGGTCCGGTGATGGTGATGGTTCTTATTGCGGTTGGTTGTCGTCGTGGTCGTTGTTGTCGTTGTCGTCGCTGTTGTCTTTGTTGTCGTTAGTCGTGCCCGTCGTGGTCGTCCTTATTGTGGTCGTCGTCGTCGTCGTCGTCGCGGTCGTTGCCGTTGGCGTTGCTGGTTGCTGCTGCTGCTGCTGCCGCCGCCGCCGCGGCTGCTGCTGCTGCTGCACGCATGCAGATGTCACATTGCTGCCGAGCTTTGGTCATGTCGACGAGCCTGCGACTGCAGGTGGCGCGTTCAGCTGCCCAAAGAGACTGCTGTAGAGTTGGAGGAGGCAGTCATTGGAAGCCGTAGCTGTGCAACCGTTGCATCACCTGCATCAATAACTCACTGCTAAAGAGCGATTCTGCTCTGCAGGCAGCTTCGGGCAGCATGGAATGCCTCAATCGACTCGGCGATGCGGCACAGCAGGACCCTACACATGCAAACGGTTCTTCAGTGAATTTGCCTGGCCGAAAATTCTTCAGCTATATTATCAGAAGAGTGAACGTGTGCTTGTGCTGCGCAAGGCAATGGCCCAGCAGGCAGTGTCGTGCCCTCGCCGAGACATAGCGACGTGTGCAGTCCGCTTTGGCAAAGTTGAGGAAGGCTTCGTTTTCCAACGAGCAAATCGGAGATAATGGGAATCCGAATCGGCGACGAGTGGCGGAAACAGAGCGTCCGCGTGACTAGAGACGAGTGTTGCAGGTGGTTACTGGGGAGGAGCGTGACTTACTGCTTGGCAGCTGGCGAAGCCAACTGGTCGGAGCTGCGCAGGCCTGGGTTTTCTCTACAGGTGATTATGCATGGCGCAGCTGTTCAACCCAGTAAGATGTGGCAGACCACATGCTCCTCGCAGGAGACCGAGAAGCAGTCGTCGAATGAGCAAGAGGACGTCCCGACCTGCTCGGAATTTGGGTCTCTAGATCCGCGGGTTCCAATGAGTAGCTACGGCCCAGGCCAAGCCCTCAAGCACCTGTACTTAAAGGAGCACGGGACTTAGTAACTTATAACTTATAACCATACTTACTAAGTCCCATGATCCTCCAAGTAGTTTTCTGAAATCTCAGTGTCAAGAGTGGAAGTGTTCAGGAGATGCGTGCTCGTGCTTTGGCCCGGCGCAGGGAGCGGCAGGAGAAAAGGGCGAAGGCCCAGCTACGCTGCTACGCCGCTGCGCCAACTGCCAGTGACGGTAGGGAGGAGATGGTACCCTAAACCCTAAACCCTAAACCTGATCGTTTGATGTTGAGCTTCTCGGGCTGATGCCTTCATGGGAGGCCACGTCGGAGACCCAGAAGCGCCAGTCCCGCTGGAGGGTGCGACCTCGTTCCAGCTTGCTTAGCATGGTTGCATGGCCAGCTTTCTGGTTGCTGTTGGCGCAGATTCCCCAGTCCTGAAGCTAGTAGCTTACAGCTGGTAACTCGTAGGCTTAGATTCCGCCATGGTAAGACACAGGAACCCGCTTACAGTCCGTTTGATTTGAACATGCGGCTCGCTGCTGTGCCACCAGCCCCAGCCTAGAGTTGCGGCCCCGCTATGGAGGGAGACCGCCCAGGCACGGATTGATTTTCCCCAGATCGAGCCTGTGCCTGTGCCCAACATGCACCAGCTCAGCAAGCCTGAAGCATGCTAGTCTGCTAGTGTGCTTGTTCTGGTTTGTGTATAGAATGGCGGTCTAAACAGCCCTTCCCATCTGTAGTCTTGCGCAGCACTCTCATAACCTCCCTACCAACACACAAACTGGGGCCATGTAGTTGAGTAGCGCTGCAGGGTAGCTTCTCCATGCGAGGTGGAGCAGATGGGGCCGGACGTCGAAGAGCGCGACTGCTCGTCGCTCGCTTATCTGAGCGTGCTGGGCGTCGGAAATTATTTCCATGATTTCTCCAGGGGGCACCAACGTCAGTTCATGTTGAACGGTTGCCTCGCCACTCCTAGATTCCTAGATTCAGTCCTCAGCACGGCCAACTTTCCTGTTGGCTTTCATGTCTCAAACTAATAGCAGTGTGCCTCAGTGCTACGTTTGCTAAGGTTACGGTTGGCAGCATAGTCGCTGCAGCTGCAGGAACCTTAGCCGTCCGATTTTGCAGTCGGTGCTGAGCCAGCACGTTGCTGAGAGCAGAGTAAGACATGCTAGGAGGCAACAGCTGCCATCAACTCCCCATGCTGACCGCACAGGTTGTCGCCGGAAGCCTGACTTCGCAGGTGCGTGGCATTCATGTGCGATTTGCTGTCACGCGTAGCTCTTTGCTCCCGGCTTCCCGCCCCGAATTCATGTTCGCCAGAGTGCTTGCACCTATCCTTGTGAACAGTTATCCCAAAAAGATCGAAAAGTCACATGCGGGTAGTCCGAGCTATCTGAATGCGTGCATGTTTCTGCTTGAAGCATTTGAGGTCGATGATTTGTGTCATGTGTCCACTCTTGCCTCACACAAGTTGCGAAGTACCTTGCCGTCAGTGTGTCCTGCTTTCACGACTTAGTTCCAGACTGTTGGCCTCTGAAAAGACACAACGATGACCAAAGAGTCCGTGGCCATGGATTCCTGCGCACTTCCGCAGAAGGCGGCCGGCGCACAGGCTCCAGCCATACGATCAACGCTTGCGCGACAGGTGTCTTAGCATGCTTGGGCATTAGCAAACGATCGATCCGGAAAGCCTGCCTTCGTCCCCAACTGAGGACATGAAGCCGCTGGTCCCACGAGCCCCTGATAGGGTTAAGGGCAGCGCTCCATCGTCCTTGCGTGCATTCAGGAAGGGTTGGTGTTGGCTCTGCACCTGAGCGGTTCACTTCCAGACATGCTCTAGCCCGACTGCATGCAAAGCATGTGCTGCCGTCCCGCCCTGGATGGCAACACGAACGCAGGATGCGAAATCTGCAGCTGACCCGGGCCAACACACAGCTCTGCGAGGAGAATGACTTGGACATCACTGCAGTTACTGCGCTCTTTCCTCAATACACAGACTTTGTGCATCATGCTCTTCAACAGAATCGCAAAGCCAGCAGTTCTTCGCAGTTGAAGCGCGCTTGGCGAACATCGCAGTGAGGTCCGAAGACTCCCAAGAAGAAGTTGACGAGGCTGAGGCCCTTCGTGACGTCCCGAGCCTGCAGGCCCGTGGCCGAAGCTTCTAAGGGAGCTCAGGCTGAGCTCAGCGGCTCGGGAGACTCGGGAGAACCAAACATATTATTGGGGGGGAAAAATATACATATTTTTTCCCCAATAATATGTATGTGTGCTTGCACCGATTCTACAGAGCTCGTCTCATGGCCCTCGAAATGCCGGCATGTCACGACCATTTCTCGCCACGGCTTAGGTCGCGTGTTGAAACGGCTCTAGAGCCCCAGACCCGGGAGGCGCTTCTGCAGACTCGAGAGCGTCGCCTGACGAAGCGTCATGCAGCGGCGCTTCGATGGGCTAAGGGCGAGGCGTCTCTGACTAAGACTAAGAACGAGTCTGAGAGAAGCGCCGAGAGAGAGAGAGAGGTGGTCCATTCGGAACTCCTGGAATTCAGTCCAAGCATATCGGCTGTCGCTGGACGGGGCAGAGTTCGGGCTTCATCTCGACTGTAGGTGTGCAGCAGCAGGGAGCGCATGTCATTGACATCTCTGTACCGTTTTCACTGATTGGGGCAGTGCAGGCATTGGACAGGCTGGGAGGAGCGTACGAAGCTTGGAGATGCATTGGGCTAGGGGCAGTAGCCACGTCATCGAGGTATGCCCGCCTAAAGTAACCGCAAGCATGCCTTCGACATTCCATGAAGGAGCCTCAGACTACACACGACATGCCCGTGCGACTACAAAAGCACCATTATTCAGTATTCACCATCATCATAATCTACACATGTATACACGCACATATATATATATATATGCCCTCATATAGCTGGAGACTAATGACTAGGACAATCCACTTTCCTGCAGTATCTGAAAGAAGCTGCCGCGTGGTCTGCCATGCATAGCCGAAGCTGAAGGCTACGTGCAACATCTTCACAGAGGACCAAACAGCGAGTGCGAACCTGATGAAAGACGAACAGTTCAGCCAGCAGCGCTTGCAGAGTATTTTGGAGACCGCTTGAAGCCGATCTCCCAGGCCTTCAGTGGTACAATAAACATCCGTTCTTCTCCTGCCCCGTCCTGTTGCAGCGAACTGGATTCCGAATTCAGTGTCGCAGCATTTTCTGTAGCCTGCATGCACGCTACTACGATGTGCCGTCATTTGATGGCTCCTGTGGTCGGTGTCATGCCCAGCTTAGTTTTGCATTTTCCAATACTCGGGAAATGCCGTGTAAGCAGCTTCATGGGAGGCTGGATTTCCGTGGGACGACGTCGTGAGGTCTAACCCACATGGCCGCCTGTCTGGCACATTTGGGTCACGATTCCCAAGTGCCGACTGAAAAGCCATCAGAATTCTTTAGTCGAATCACCCGAATTATTATCAATCAACCATTGTTGAAGCCGCGGCAACAAGGGCAATGCTCTGCTTTGCATTCCAGTTCGAACATGTGGCGAAGACTTGGTGCTCCAAGCTTAAACATTGCTTTGCCAGCCCCGGCTATTCCGTCTTACGCTCAATAGCTGAGCTCTTCAGGTTCAGAGCTCGCTTTGCGCAGGTCTTCCATCTTTAGCAAATCCCATGCACAAGACGCCAGCCACACCCATAGATACGATGATGCTGCAAGATGGCTCAAGGCAACATATGTGTGGTTTCGTGCGAGCAGCCCAGTAAATTGCAACAAGGAGGTATCACTTCAGGGGCGCTGACGTTCTAAATGGGAGGTTTTTTTTCTTAGGTTCGGCAAGTGCCCTGTACAGAGCACGGGAATGCTTCACTGTCCCGCTGGGCTCTGCGTGCCAGCATCGGGCTGTCTCAATCCCACAGATCGTGTCTTGTTCTTCATGGTGAGATGACGAACTGCAAGTTGGAGCATGCCTAGTTTCGAGACCTCCAGTGAGAGGATTGGATACGACTCTTGCGGAATGCATCACTTTGAATCGACTGATGAGCTGCTTGTGCTTCTATCAACCAATACGGTTTATCTGGACCTCTGCTTCGAGGCAGATGGGCTGGTCGGTGCTCTCAGAAATGCGTTCACCTGATTTCCCCTTCGCATGCTAACTGAGGAGGGTGGACTTAATTCAATGAGACATGAAGTATCCGGAGCTTTCGTGAAAACGCGGCTCCATTTATGTGCTGAAGCTTCTCTTCCCACTGCTTTCCAACGCTTAGGGATTTCCTGTGTGTGATGTATGGTCCAATGTTTATGATATATAATATGTGGTTTTTACATATATGACATGTCATATATGATATATCAGAAAAATTCAGAAGGAGAGCCTTCACTGAGACTATGGCAAGTATGGCTGACGGGACTCGAAACCGGCTGTCATGAGGTCTTTTCAGCACGCTTTTTCGCCCATCCGAAAACACAACCTACTGCATCAGTGTTTTCGTGCATCGGCCGGCCCTTTCTGGCCGTTCAGTATTCGGAAGTTGCTTGCCTCATGATTGGGGGGGAGGTGTCTTCATGGCCCACGCGTGTGGTTGGAAGGTCCGAAGGCCATGTTTCTCGAGCTCCCCTCCCCGCGTTGCCAGCAACATCTGCTAAAGCGGTTCCTGGCTGTGAAACTACTTTATTGAATACGTTGTGAGTTGCCAGCAGTAGATAAAGGCGTCGCTGTGACCGAGACAAGTTGCTGGCAGAGAAGTGACGTTATCGGGAACGAGTGCCAGTCGGTAATGCGAGGAGCATCAAGACAAAGTAATTTCTTTCCTTCTTGGCTCGTCATGATTTTCATGACCGATACGCCATGCAATCACAAGTAATACTCGATGCCAAGTTCGATGTATGGCTTCGAGAAACATTCACGGATCCGACGGAAATCGATAGATTCCGCCACGGCACAGCACTCGCCTCGAAGGGAGGAAGATGACCGACGTCTGCCATTTCCATCCCGAGGTGCATTGGCCTCTCTGGCAGAATGTGCGCTTCGTTGTATATTGAAGCAAAAGCATTGCGGCATTTCGACTCCGAATCTGCTGAGCATTGCTCAACCGGCACTGGCCAGAGAGTAACCGAAGCGAGCTGCTTCTCTCCTCTTTCACCTGAACCGGGAAAACATGTCGACGTGCAGCTGGCCGTCGTGGAGTCGTGAACCGTTACTGAGTTTGGGATCCGTTGGCTACGATTTTATCCCAAAACTTTATACTACTTGCCGCGCTTCCGCAGCAGCGGCTCTGCTTTTTCGGCAACATCTTCGATGGGATGTAAGTGCAACATGAAGGTCAATAATGCTCGCACTTTACGCTTTCGGCAGGAAAATGCTGCTGGGAATTTTAGAACTCGATCATTCATGTCGGTCATCATTCCCAATTTCCAACTAGAGACCAATGATACCAGTATTTGCGAAGTCTTCCGAGCATGTCAGCTTACCAAACCAAAATGCCAATATTGAGTGTTTCCATACTGCAGGCACGTGCAACATGCATCGTCTTCGTCGTCGTAGCTTATGATTTCCGTTGACAACCTAATTTCTTGACCGCTGACAGCGTTATTTCCATGGTGACGGTTCGTTGGTATCCGTGTCGGCTGCGCATTACGGCTTGAGGCGAGGAATTTGCAGCAAGTTGACTGGCGCTGTTGCTTGTCGTCGCAGTACTACGATTTACTGCTAGTATTAATCGCGCCTGGATCAACTGCAATCCATAGTCATGTGCCGTGGGGGCTTTGAATGAGCACTCTATGTTTCTGACCTACGCCAGTCTTAATTTATTTGCTTGGCTATATAGGTGCTCGGGAGGGAAGATGGCAGAGAACGGCCCACGAACAAGTTCCTATGCAAGTCATTGAATTTCTTTCAGGCTTGACTGAAATTACGGATTCGTCCTCTGCGGGCACGTTTTTTGTTTTCGTTCTCTATGGGATTGTTGCTGATAATCCCCTAAACCCTAAACCCTAAACTCTAAACCCTAAACCCTAATCCCTAAACCCTAAACCCTAAACCCTAAATTGTTTCATCTCAAGAAGGAGCAGCTGGCCGAAGCTTCAGAAGGATTACCTGTATGACCAAGTTCGTTGACAGGTCGATCCATTTATCGAGTTGTCCTTTGAAGAAAAAAGGGGTACCTTATTTGGGGGTTTAGGGTTTAGGGTTCGGGGTTTAGGGTTTAGGGTTTCCCAAAATTAGGGGTACCTTATTTTGAGGTCCTCATAATAAGGATCCTATTATTTAGGGTACTATATTAGGGTCCCTTATTTTCGAAAACCCCCAAAAATTGTGCTTGTTGTGGTCAATTGCAATGGCTTGCGCAACAAGTGGCAGTTTTGTCGTGTGTAAGAAGACTCGGGCATGGTTTTGCAGGATGGCCTGTGAAGAGCCAAGGTAGTCTATACATATTTATGAATTGCAACGCTCCTGTCTGTCCTGCTACCCTGCTGCCAGTAGCACGCACGGACCAAGCATACAACCAAGTAAGAACTGCAAGCTCTAACATTGAAGAGGAGTCATTCGTGCAGTTCATGCCTGAGTCTTTGCACGTTACAGGCTGTGTTCGACAGCAATTTACCAAGAAACAGCATACATGTGGTGTCGAGAAAAAATGGTGGGCGGCTTGCAGATGCGACGATGCAGTTTCTGTTGCTTGAAGCTGCTTGCAGCTTATCTCTGCAGAGGATAGGAGAGGGAAGGGTGCAGTGGAACATCACTGGTGCTGGGATGATGCGGGTTTGTCAAGCTCCCTTGGTCGGGACAGCGTGGAAAACCCATGGAGAAGTTCTGCCCTCATTAACGTTCATGCTGATAGCCTCACGGATATGTAGCTGTTGAATATGCTCGATCTTGAAAGCAAAGTGTCGCTGCACGGCATCGTCGTGTTCTGCAGCAGGCGAATGCGCAGGCGATCGGTTGGCAGGCCTGCTTCCGTTTCGGGGTCGCAAAGCCTACTGGCGGCTGTAGTGAAGTTCAGCAGATCGGAAAGATCCGCAAGATGTAGGCGCAGCAATGCGGTCTGGAGTTGTGGAGCCACCTGTCAGTCGGAGTTCCTCACCTTGCTACGATGCAGTTCGACAACAGACCAGCCCGACGGAGAGAAAGGGAAGGAAGAAGGACCCAGGTCTAGTCCCGGTGAAAGCCTTGAGCCTCGCGAAAGACGAGGAAGAGCGAGGATGAGAGCAGCAGACACAAGAGACAGCCGAGCTTGGTGAATGTAGCATCCGCCGGGCAATTCAGGACGAGCATCTGGAAGAGAGTGACAACAGCAAAACTGCAAGTTTGGGTTTGGAACTTGCTCTCCCCACGTCACATCCCAGCACCTGAGCCACGTCAGATGGAAAGGACGACTATAAGGAACACTGCCCTGAGCGAGCCTCGTGCTTCCAAGCTGTGCAAGCCTTAGATTGCAGGCAGATGTCGAGGACTGGGTTGTGCCGATACAGTTGATGGCGCCATGTTGTGGACAGGTAATTCCTGGACGGTTAGGTGCGAATCTGCATGATGGATTTGTTAAGAAGTCAACTCGCCGGCAAGCTGAAGTTCGTTTCCAAGCCCAGCTTCAGTTGCAGGAGCCTGGACATTCATCCAGAAGAACATCGTACTGGGGCTTTCAAAGTGGACGGCGAGGTGTTGCGGTGGCACGACTCCATGCTAGCAAGGGCCGTCGTATGACAGACGAGAACCAACATACTTGTATGGGTGGTTGTCAAAATTATGGTCCCTTTTTGGGGCCTTAATATAATACGTCACCTATTATTTAGGGTACCCCAAAAGGGACCATTATTTTGACAACTACCTGTATGACGGTCGCGGCAGCTGCAGACTCGGCTCTCTCCGTGCAGGTCCATCTGCAGATGCAGGCCCAGACGAAATCCTGCAAGAGAATGCGTTAAAAACTTTCGACAAGGACAGCGGGCATGCATGCTGCTTGCCTGGTTTGCAACCCACGGCGCATCTGGAATTGTAAATCGAGCGTAGTGAGTAGTACCCTCGCAAGATTCGCTTTGGGCATGTGCGCGGGTCTCCCAGGTCCGGTTGGAGTGCTCCAAAGGTGTCTTGTGTTGGCCCCGATGTCAGGAGCTGCCACATTGGTTACACCGGATCGCCGCGAAAGTTTCAGAGCCTTTGACAGCCAGACTGCCTGGATCTCAGCAATGAAGTGTTGGAGACTGGGGCTCGTTTCAGCTTCGCAGCCTTGGTAACGTTACACTACCGCCTCGTTTGCTCAGCCAGTTCGGTCCCACTTCATTCTATCCACCGTAGACAGAGGCAGGCTGAGATTGCACAGGATGGACGACGTACGGACATTAGATCCCGTGCAAAGGTCTGCTCTTCCAGCAGTTGGCGCTGCGCCGGCTCCCAAGAGTGTCAGAATCAGGAAAGCTAGCTTTCGAGGAGCTTTCGGGAGTGGTCGATAAGAAGAAAATCCTCGGCTAACAAGTTCTAGGGCTTCAAGGCCTTCAGGTTGGATACATCGAGCGTTGAAGGCTTGTAGCGGGGCGGGGAAGGGCCAGTTTATGAAGCCCCCCTCCACCCTTAGACACTCTGTCAACACAGACACCCGTCGTGCTGCTACAGCTACTGACGACGACGACGACGACGACGACGACTACTACTACTACTACTACCACCACTGCTACAAAGACGGCGACGACGACGAGGACGACGATGACGTCGAGGACGACGACTACTCCTACTCCTACTACTCTTACTCGTACTCCTACTCCCCCCCACTCCTCCTCCTCCTCATGCTCCTCATACTCCTACTGCTCCTCCTACTCTTCTACTCCTACTCTTCAACTCCTACTCATACTCCTCCTACTCCTACGGCGACTCGCACTCTTCCTACTCCTGCTGCTCCGACTCCTCCTCCTCCTCCTTCTACTCCTTCTACTCCTGCTGTTCCTGCTGCTGCTGCTGCTGCTGCTGCTGCTGCTCGCACGAGCAGTCACTAGAATCACTAGAACCAGAGGTTGAGGGAGGATACCTGCATAGAGCGCCTCCGTGTGCTACCACACCTAGTTGTGGGAGTTTAGTGCACCGAAAAGGAGAGCCCTCCTAGCGAGTTCGGGTCCTGTCAATGCTGTGAAGTGAGTTTCCAACAAAATTATCTTGGTAGAAGCAGGGTATCAGTCCACGCAGCCGGAAGCCCTCTTTGCAGGAGCCGTGTGAGCACACTTCGCCGAGAGTTTCAGCGTGTGGGCGGACAGGCCTAAACCCAAAATCTCGCCCATGTCCGATCTTCTGCGCATTCGGGAGCAGACCTCCTGGTGCAGTCGGAGATAGCGCTTCGAGTGTGGCACAGGTGACTTTCGTTGATGACCACGACCCGAAGAAAGCATATCGAAAGTGGCAGGAGTTGCACCACGAGGCGTGACGCTGCAGCTCGTAAGCATGCCGGCTTGCTATGAAGGCTCACTTTCGGCAGCTGTGGAAGCTGGCCACAATCGCAATTGAATTTGCTGCCTTCACTTGAACTCGCTGCCTTGCATGGCAAGATGATAGATCAATTTGGCGATTGACAGGTTTGCCACGTCTTGGGCTTTGAACTGCCAGCGTGGTGCCTACGACTTCTGAGTTGCTGCGCTTGGCTGTGCGGGTGGTCGCGGTTCTGACTCTCGGGAAACCCAACATGTCACAAGTATACGAGTACCCTATTATAAACCCAAACCCGGAGAGCCTTTTCTTGCGTGTGTGTTTCGTATAGAACCAGGTGTGGTTGGGGTGACGAGTACTCAGTCTACGGTTTGGTAGTGTGGGTATGCCTGGTTCCCTGCACACTTCCTCCTCCTGCTAGGAATTCCGG